GCCGGAAAACGGCTCGCCATTAAATATGTTACATCACTTCGCTTTGTAAAACTTTTCTAAGTAAGACCTTACACCTCGAAAGTGCTGTCTGATCCGAATAACTTTCAATAGTGTTTGTCCGCGGGTAAAACATGTCGGCAGTATTTCAACAAAATATCCCAAAAATTACGACCTGTAAGTTAAATACACGAAACAAGACGGACCTGAGGGATAGACGAAAGGAAGGGCAGACGAGCTTAGATTGATTCCGAAAATGACTCTCATTTGATCGGTATGAGAAAAGGTGTAGGTACCGCAACATCTTCTGGGTACTGCGTACACCCTACACCCCTATGAACCTAATATGCTCTTCTACCACAAGTGGTGCAGGGTATAAATCGTTCGTGATTTATTTCATTTAAAATCTCACGCTAATCATAAAGGTTTTATAGAGCTATTTATGCATCCATTTCGAGCATTCTTTGACGAAGCATTCCATGAAATTTTTTAAATTATTAATAATATAAAGTTTGGCTCAAATATCCCTTAAAAACAATTTTATTTCATCATAAAAACAAATTCTATTTTGATATTTTCATTTGGTTTTGTTGTCCTTGTGTGCCGCCGGATTGTTGTTGATAAGTTCCCCGCTTTTTTTCGTTTAAAAGTTGGAAGTTTATATAAATTGTTGTTTGCTTGCGAGTAACATGCATCTCAACACCAATGCACGCGCGTAAAGACTCATGTGTGTGCAATTTCATATTACATTCATTTAGATTTCAGCACGTGACACGTGAAAGCACAGCTGCTCCTTCAAGTACATGGCATGATACGTTACCGTTTCCTTATGTGCGCATTCAACTAAGCAAAAAAAAAAAAAAAAATCATTGTCATCAGTTGTTAGATCTATTTTCCTTTTTTTACCCATCACCAAAGGATGATGGGTATATTTATTTCGTCAAAACGTTTGCAACGCCCGGAAGGAAACAACAGAGATTCCACAAAGTATATATATTCTTGCTCAAAATCAAATTCTAAATCGATTTGAGCATGTCCGTCTGTCCATCTGGGTGTCTGTCACTCTGCACAAAGTCGATTGTAAACATACTTTTGGTCGCAAAAATGCAGTGATCGACTTCACATTTGGCGGAAACATTGAAAGTTCTTGTAAGCAAGTTGGAATTGAAAATGAGCCAAATCGGTCGAAGGATACGTCCACAGCACCACGTAAACTAAGAACAACCCTGGCTTTCAAAATGAATCAAAAGTTGATTTCACGCTCTTTGCACTGTTCAACTATCATTTTAAACGGACGATGCTGTAGCATTTGTGCACAAAAATGCAAAAAGTTGACCACGCCTAACAAATATTACAGTATACCAAAATTGAATATTTTTTCAGACGTAGCAACTTCCTTAGCTTCAAAACTCCCATAATGAGTACAAATTCTTTGCAATGCACCTAAACATGTTCGTCGTCCATCTGTCTGCCCGCTCAACTGTGTAATATGTGTGTGTGGCTCCCGTTAGCGAAAACAAGTTTACAAAAGAAAATAAAAGTGACTTAAACTTTTCCAAAGACACGCCTATAACGCTCACATGCTTATACAATAAAAATGTTTACCTTGACAATAGAAAAAATCAGCCGCGCCCACTCCATATTATAGAGCATGAAAATTGAGTTGTTTTACTTCTTCTGTTTTTTTTGGGATAACAGCAATGGGTGTAAGAGATGCGACCACGACCGAATATAATTTTCTTACTTGTTTTTTTTGCGTGTGTTATTTTGTTTTCGGAATTTTTAAAATATATTTTGTTTTCGTTCTGTTTTCGTTATCTCTTCTTGTTAGAGATTTTAAGTCCTGCCGCATTTTCCATAAAAATTCAATCGCTTATGTGTTTGGCTGATTTCTTTTACTTTCTATTAAACTGTTGCATATTCTTGGCTCCGTAAGCGTTGGCTGCGATGCAAATTGAAGAGGGTGAGAAAATCCATAAAATAATTTCAAGTTTTAATTTTTGAAAGTTGGCGAGATATTCTTCTCACTATACTGAAACTTGGAAGATATTAGAAGGCAAGACGGCCAACTGGAATTGTCAGTTTAATAGGACGCATCTATTTATCAAAACATTAAAAATGTGATCAGAGCTAATTGTCTTAATTAAACAGAAGTTTATGCATTGAAGGACTTTAATTTTTTTTTTTTGTTCCTATATGGGATGTTTGGACACCGAACGGAACCAATTCTGTGGAAGACATTCTTGTACCTGTTTAAAGGTATTTTAAAAAGTTTCAGATAATACTTTAGGGAACGCATAGCCGATATTTGTATCTCGGTTTTTCATACAATCCAGGGTCATCTGGCGTGAATGCATTTTCAATATTAGCAGAGAAAATACATAGTTCGTACCAAGCCAGGTCATCTCAGAACAGCTACAATTTTTGACGTCCCTAGTGGAGATAGTAATTAGCATGATTGCTATAGAGAAGATATGTTTTTAAGAGCTTTCATTTGGCTTTTCTGCAGGAGATCTCGAACAAGAAGCAGAGATAAATAAATAATAAAAAAAAAAACTTATTGCTAATAAGCATAAACAATAGGACAACGTCTTGAAATACTTTCGTGAGATTTCGTGCATATGCAAAGCACGTGTCGACGTCAGTTTCAATTTATCAACATTTCGCTATGAGTTCAGGGTGCGCTCAAGGAAGTGAATAGCAAACTGAATACTTTGAATTGGTAAGAATCGCCACACCGATGTCAGAGTTCACGGATTTAAACATCAAGTGCGAAGGAGTTTACCTGGTTGGTTGGTTGGTTACACAGTCACTAGGTTTCCGGCTTTAAAAAAAAAGGAGGTAAGAAAATTGAAACCGCTGAGATTAAACCGATTGCCTTAACATTGCTTTTCTTCTTCCCTTCTTTCTATACGATATATAGTACTACATGGTATATACTATACATACTACATACTATAATTAAGTCGTCGGTGTAACATGAGTGATGCAAAAACTTTTTCTCGTCCATCATTTCATTATCGTAAATACAAGAACTTGTTTTTTAACTAAAGTTTCTAATGCAAAATTTGTTAATCTAACTTTTATATAATGCGCTTTCAGCTTAAGTTGTTGGACATGCTCCTGCTTTCAATTGCTAGTTTTAAAACATTCATGCATCTTACCTAAGTCATAGCTGTCCAACTTTCCAAGACACTGAGCCACCAAGGAGGCGCCACTGTCACTGTCAATTGTCCGGTTTGAAAATGCCCAAGTCATCAGTACATTGTTGTATTGAATTTTTCGAAAGATTGTTTTAAGCCCCTATGATTGGCAAACTATGAGATGAACCTTAGTTTATGCTATTGAATTGAATAACTGAGTTTGCACTCGAAATCTACTCGCATTACGAATGCAAACAAATAAAAAATGGATTTGTAGTGTAACGCATTCTCACCAATGGCCGAAGCTTAGAATTTAATTTGTGCTTAAACATGAAACTTGCATTTCTGTGCAAATGTATTCATTCATTCACTTATATACATATATCAGTAAACAAATAGTAGAGGTGTACTGTTGTTATATCTCTCGTATCTCCTGTGCTTTGATCAATTAGTCTTTGTGTAATTAAAACGTAAGTCATCAATTTTTCTGTGTCTGTCAGGCGCTTGTACAATGCCTGAATATAGAAAGGTCAATCAATTGCTATGCTAGAAGAGTTTAAAATGAAAAGTATGTCAAAGTTAATTGACTTTTCATTGGAAAATAATATGGGTGTAACACCCAAGCCAGCACATCCGCTGCGGGAATGACAAACAGTTTAAAGCATTTTCTCCCACACCCTTGGTAGGATGTACTTGATTTTCACATCAGCCGGTAATGCTCGGAAATAAACCGAAATGAAATCTCTCATCAATTATGTGAATTCTTGATGCTAGAATCAAGTCGACGGGTGCTAGCGCTAACTAAAAATCATAATTATATACGAAATCTAAATTTTGCTTTGTATTGTTCTTTTTAATTTTCTTCACGTCACATCTTGCTTAAAAGAATTCCGTTGCAATCGAGAGCGTGTTAATAATTAATCCGCTCTCCTGTTTTAGTAACGATTCATACTACGATGTGACACCTAGTCATGTATTTTTTAATTTCGAATTATCGAAAAGAAAGAAAATCGTGAAAAAATAAGAAAAAATTAATTTGTTGATCCAAGCTCTAGTCTAACGAAGAAATTATCAAAATTGAGGACCCGGAAAACTATTGTGAACCAGCCAATGTACTGTGACGCCTATCATAAGTTGCATGGCTGCGGGCATTCTCCCCCTCTTGTTTTGAGAGTGCACGTATACGTGTCATTTATATGTATGTGTATGCATCATTTTATCACATCATAAAAGTAAAGTTCATTTTTCGTTCATTCGCTCAATAAACAGCCGCGTTCCAAGTAACATCATAGAGACGTCAATAGTCATTAGTATTTTTTTCTTTTTTTTTTTTTTTGTGACTTAACCCTATTAGGAAGTTTTATTCAACTTTAATTTTGCCTCGGAATATCACATTTGATACAAAATCGCGTAAACTATGACGAGAAACACATGATTTTGTTCTATGGCTAGTGGACGGTCACAGCGCCATAATGCGGCCGAAAAGGAAAAGACTAGGGAAACATAGAAAAAGAGTCCAATCACAAGAGTATATATATATAGACAGTGTAAATAATACTATAAGCCAAGTTGTACGAAATATTATGAATATATAAGTGAAGGTATAGCGTAGTGAGAAGGAAATATTATCGATTGCACAAAGTAGTTCAAAATTTTAGTGAAGCGTGTGTGCATGTGTCTTTTTTTTTGATAAAACAGTAGAGAGAAAGAATTTCTGTCTCGCGAAAGTTAAACGTTTAAGAAGCGGCAGGTATACTGGAGGCACACATATATATATTGAAGAAAAGTAGAAGGACGTATGACTTTTAAAATATTTCTTTACTAATCTTCGTAATTTTAATAATTGCAATGTACTTATAGATGGATGGCGATTGAGTCATTGTACGACAATATATTTTCAACTGAATCGGATATTTGGAGTTTCGGCATTTTAATGTGGGAAATTGTAACATTAGGATCTACGCCTTATCCTGGCATATCCGCTGCGGAGGTTATGCGTAAAGTAAGTTAGAAAACTCTTTATCGATTCTCAATTGAAACGGAATTTCTACCTTTCCAGGTACGAGACGGTTATCGTTTAGAGAAACCGGAGCATTGCCGTCGTGAACTTTATAATATAATGTTTTATTGTTGGGCGGAAAATCGTCATGAGCGACCAACTTTTGGTGAGATTGTACAAATGTTGGACAAGCTATTGCATACCGAAATGGATTACGTTGAATTGGAACGTTTCCCCGACCATAATTATTATAACATTGTGAACGTAAGCGGTGAAAAAGTGTAAAAGTGTACATCGGCGGAAACAGAAGACTGCTTTAAAATTTAATAATGAATTTGCAAAGCTCTCACTCCCTCCCTCTCTCTTCCTCACTCCCGTTTCACCACCTTGCGTTTAAAATGTTCAGTAAATATACGAAGCAATAAAAATATTTCCAAGTATTTTTATAGTCATTTTGAGATTTTAGCGCTCCTTTTCTCATTTTTAATTGCAGTTGAATTAAATGCTTTTAAGATGTTATTGTGTAAATAAGTATTAAATTTTTATTTTTTTTTTTTATATTTTTTTTTTTTTTTGAATTTTTGTATACATGTTAATCTTTTACAGTTATATGAACCAAAAGAAAAAATCAATAAATACCGACAATAAGACAAATCCATCTTAATTTCTATTTAATTTCTATATCAATAGAAAAACAGAAAAAAAAATGACTTTAAAAATAAAATAAATGAAGCAAAGTGAATCCAATCCAATAACGTATGCTGCTCGAATAGAGAAAACAGGGGGTCGATACCACACTGAGTTTTGAAAACTTTTTAAAATGTTTAAATAAGAAATAAGAACATGTTAGGTGTACAAATACGAAATGCAGATTTGAGCAATCCAATGCGATGGGTTTTATATTATAAACGTTTGTCATATAAGGCATTTTGTCGCGACATCAGCAAATTTCAAAAGCTTCGATGTGCTTGTATAGTAGTGTTTCGGCACATTGAATATGTCGAAATTTGCATCCAATAAGGTGGGTTCATCCAGATTATTTTCATTTGATGAAAACCGCTGCTGGATCATACTGTGGAAAGGTGAATATGCATTCTCCATCGCAAGCTATGTGCGAACAATAGTTTCGGGAATATCAAAAATGGTGGTTATGCGATACTGGAAACAAGATACATGAGAAACCGGTGAAAGGGTACAAAGTCGCAAGCATTGCAAGCATTGTTTGATGAAGACGCTGCACAAATGCAAAAGCTCGCAGAATACAAATGGGGAAGATTGCTCCTCTCCGGTCACTTCTTTGCCTCGGTGGGGCAGGCAATTGTGCTCTGAGCAACATTATCCTGCTTACGAAGATGTGAAAAATATGATTCGATAAATTGCTCGCGGCAAAAGCAAAATTTTTACTAACGTGATATCCACAAATTGCCTAAATGCTGAGAAGAACGCGTGGCTGGCACCGGAGTATGTTTTGATTGAACCAAACCTTATTATTCCTATGTGTTGAGCGTGTTTTTGGAAAAAAAATTACTGTTTCGAATTTGTACACCTAACAACTGTGTGTGTGTGTGTGTGTGTGTGAATGCATGTGATTGTGTGCGTACAAATACACATAAGTTATACGAAACGAAAGATCTTTTTGCAGATAAAACTTAAGAACCCATTGGCAACAAATATTATCTGCTCTGTGCTTAATAAGAATTTCTACAGGTAACCCTATGATCATATCATCATCATGATTTATGCACGGCAGCAGAAATCTATCATTCTATTTGTCGAGTAATCCCTGCAAAGCTTATGTTATTAAATTAGTTAGGTTTGTAATAACGGTTTGCTTATGTTCACTTCTTCACATAACATATTATATTTCCTAATTCAATAGCAATGGTTAGAAACTATTGATCTCAAAATTACATACAATGTTCAGTGTCTGAGAAATAAACGAATGGGCTACGGTTGCTGTTTTTTGGAAGTACCAAGCACTTTGTGCAACGGCTTCTTTTTTTTTGCAAAAGAGTACCTCTGTGTTGACTTTTGATCGTCACCTATCCAAGATAAATTAAGAAAATTTGCATAGCCGATTGTTAATAAGAAAGATCCGACATACATTACAATTTGTGAACTATATGAGGATTACAATTACGATGGGTTTTAATTTCGTACTTGCGGGATTTTGAGTTTACTAATTGGTAGATGGATTAGATATAATTTGTTCTACGAAAGTCTCGAATCTTTGCTATAAAGAGTCCTTTTGCTGCCTTTGGTGTTCCATTACCGAGTAAATACATGTTTTCAATTAATTTGAGGACCAGTAGCTGGCCACAAAATATCATTTGAAACACATGGTGTTTCCTTGCGTGACTACTTGCAGACAAATACAACGCAAATCGGAAGATATTGGAAAGGGTATCCTGAGAGAAGATAATAGCATTGTTAGAGGGAAGAAAAAGTAAAAGTGGAGTGATTAGATTGATTCATACGTAGAGCAATTCAAGAGGCAACGGCAATCCATTTATATCAACACAAAGCGGCTAACTAGGCATATAGGATGAGCGGCATGCATATTCCTCTACTCCCAGCGGCAAAGCACTGCTGTCAATTAACAATAGAAAGACCATATCCGGCGATCGAAAGACTGACTCAAGGCATGCTATTTCCATTCAATCGATCTGGTGTCACCAGCTGAATCTGATCAAAGCTCAACATAAAGTGCTAAATCCGTCGCAAGAAAAAGAAGAAGAAGAAGTAAGGTGCAGCCTATATAAGGAGGGAAATGAGGGCATAGAAATGGATGGATAGGCGATTATTTTACGTTTGCCTTAGAAACCGATAATGTGACGCAAAGAAAGGCAGGCCAACAAGCGATTTTAAACTAGTTCGGCATTTTCATTTTAAATAGTTAGCTATATTTAGTTATTTAGCAAATCTATGGAACGGCCAGGTTTAATACCTAAAGAAAATTTCTTCATAAATTGTCATTTGAATATGTGGACGTAGGGACAGACAGACAATGCTTCATGCCAATCTATAAGATGCATAGTCTATAAGATTTCCAATAGTTACCTCTAGTCCCGATAAATTTGTAAAAAACTTAATTTATCGCTATGCTCGGTAAAAAAACTATAATAAGCGCGCTGATGAAGGTAGGAAATGTACGAGTGATAAAAGCCTAGTCTTCACTATAAGGTACTTATTTTTCGTTTCTTCATCGTTCAAAATCTTTATTTTTCGTAATTTCTTTTGTCGTCATTTTGGTTTAAATCATTTTTGGTAAATTATCTTATACGTGCTTGGAAAATACAATACTTTGTTCGGAGGTATATGTCGCATGTATGACCTACCTGGAAGCGAAAACTTCCAATATTCATTAGTTAACATAAATTCTTTATATATTTCTTATATAAAATATTGCTAGCAATCAATATCGTCACAATGCTCTTGAAACCATAGTCGCGAACAATATCGCATTTGATTATCCCTTCATTTGCAATTTATCTCTTTTGTTAACGATTTACTGCCTTCTATAAAAGTGAAAAAGAGAAAATAATTCCTTTATATAAAAGGTTTTTATTACTTTCAAGTGTTTTACATTATAAATGTCAACGAGACAATGCATGTGATGATGATAGAGAAAATTTCCGACAATTTTCTTTTTATACGCTATTTACAAAACTTTTTTCTTTACTTTTATGTTCCTCTGCTCTATCACGCTTAGTAACTTTAAGCATTTCTTGTTTATAAGGGCGAACAACGTAAGTGTGTGGCATGTGTGTTACCGAAAAGTAAAAAACTTTATTCAAATAGGATAAATGTGTATCAAAAGCACACAAACACACGGCACACACAACACACACACACACAAGCACATCCATGATGCATGCATACATATATATATGTATACGTACATATACACATTTATATATATATATATATGTATATATAGTAAGGCATATGTTGTCGTTTTGGCAACAAATACTACGTTCTACAACTCACGACGTTAATAAATGAATGGTTCAATGCATGAAATGTGAATGTAAACAAGACATATACTTACGTACATATTTGTGAAGACATACGAAGGCAAAGATAAGAGTTTCCACGATCTGCTTGAAGCATAAATAGGCGCGGAATAGTTGGAGTATAGTTTTAGTTCTTTTTTTTTTTTTGTATCTTTTTTTTCTTTTTTTTTATGAACAAAGCCGTCTGCAACTATAGCATTTTGGGGCAAGTCGCGAATACTTTCCACCTAATTTCAATGCAAGTAAAACTTACATTAATAGACCGACAAACAAACAAACAAAAAGTAACGCTTTATGAAGAATATATCTGCCAAGTAAAAGCCGAAACAGCCTAAAGTCGTAAATGTTCGACATTATCTTTGGAGTAGAAAGATGTTGCTAAAAGGCATCCTTTATTCTTATTTTCTCGTTTCCGTAAATTTTTCTGGTAAGCAGGTGCATTTGTCATAAAAATTTTGTGTAATAAATAATCAAGCTTAACTGGGGAATGAATATACGCGAGAGAGAGAGAGAGAGAGTCCACGTGCCTTCGTTTATTCGAAATCTTAGTTATTTTAAAGGTTAAATAAATTTAGTTGAAAGGATTTATTATTATTACATAAAACATTCTTTCGCGCAAAAATTTAAAACAAAAAATAAGTTAAATCCACTGGTGTCAAAAAAGTATCAGAATTAGTCAAAAGAGGAAAATTCTTCTTTACTATGGTGCCAGCAAAAGTAATTAAATTTGTAATTAATAGATGCTTGCATGTATTCTAATCATGGTTTTCACTTGAAAATGTCATTTATTGAGAAAAATGGGCTCAATATATGTCAATCCAAATATTTTCCAGCATTTTGTACAACTTTTTTCCTTCTTTTTGGCCACGTGGCGATCATAGTTGGTTTACCCAGCACTCCAATCATCGAATCATTTTCGCATTTCTTTAAAATTGCGAAACCGCTTGCTTGGCAGCCCATGTTGCCTCGATCTGAACAAGTGGTAATCAGAGAGCGCTGTGTCTGGTGAGTACGCTGGTTCAATGCTGTTGCAATGTTGCTTCACCTTTGGCGAAAAAAAAGCGAAAACCTTCGGGAAGAAATGATTGGAGTGAAAGAAGAAGTAAAAATCGCGTAGAAGTGAAAAAGAAATGAAAGAACTCTTAAATTTTGATTTATTATGGACTCGTCTACTGATAAATTCTCGCTTGTGATCAAAACCTCGGTAAATGTTGTCTAATCAACACGTTACAAAATCCTTTGTTGATCTCCATTTTCTCAAAATTTAAATTCGTGAGAAGAACCTTAGATCAAAGGACGGAGTTAAAAACAAAAAAAAAAGAAAGAATTTAACGCGTTCGCGGAAGATGTCATAGCTGGTTTAATGGACCTTTAAATGATACCATATCAAAGTTGAACGCCAGTTTATTTAAGGACAATCGGGGAGCTAAGATGTTTCAACGAGTTGGCGATGGGTGTAGTAGTTGTTTTCTGTTAACCGTGTTAAGTTTTTGTCTTAAGCTTCTTAATCCTTGAAACTTTAAAAAAAAAAGACACACCACAATATTGCCGTCTTGTTAGTTGAAACAAGTCAGTCAGTGTGTGCTTTACTATAAAAAAGTTTAAATGGAAAATATCTTACAAGTTTAGATGAAGAATATCCGAAGAACATCCGACACATGGTTCAACGAAGTAAAATGCACTTGAATGTCAAAACGGACATTTTATAAACCCCTACAACAAAAGCACATATAATATCATCTTTCTGTCACCACTAATGGAAAGTCCAAAGCACTATTGCTAGCAGCTGACATTTACTTGATGTAGGAAAGTAGGAAACTTTTGTGGTAATAAAATTTTCCACACAAACAAATGAATTACACTTTACCGACCGACATCACGCCATCAAAGTTGACATCAATCTCAACGATTCTTATTACAAAGAAAATGACAAGAAAGCTAAGAAAAAAAACAAGAATAAAATTAAGAAGAATAAGCAGATCACGGCAGATGTTATTTTAAAGGGGGAAAAAATTAAGCCAAAATACGTGAAGCAATCGCTTGATGTCAATTTTTACTTACGATACTTACAAGCGCAATATCATTGAGCACATTACGACAATATATTAGTTGGCCGACAATTTTTTTTTCTGCCATAATACTCTTTACGTGACGAGCATTATTAAGCAATAAATATTAAATGAAATCGATTGTCAACGACAAGCGCTTCTAAATGTTACCATCTTATGAGCCAATGCACTAACTTCCGCCTTTTATCTCTCCTCTTCTCTTTCTCTTTATCACTCCCTCACCGACGTTAACTAAAGCAAAACATTGCTCTTGTCCCGTTTGCGAAGCAAAGACATATATAACGTGTGGTATGCGATTTTTAACAAAGTCAGTACCAAGCGATTTTAGGAAACATCAAAAACACCCTTTCAGCATATCTCAAGTACCTAGTATTTTGTCTAACATCCGTAGGGAGACTTGTTGTAGATTACACGCTGTTATGAAAATTTCGAATACCTGAGTAGTTTTTGGCCCTGGCCAAATTTATTCTAAAACTACAAGTGTTTGTTGCAAATCTCAGAACGGACGGACGGACGGTCAAAGAGATAGATTCATCCATGTTAAACTTGAGCGTAAAGCTTTCAATATGCATTTCTCGATGTTACTTATAGAATAAGAAAACTAATATACCTTTGAACTTTCTATGACACATGAACTGAGTACGATACGATGCAACTTTCTGTGACATCCATTTGTTGCAATCATGCTTAATGACATTGAGTTCAAACAAAGTCGCTGGTTATGTGCGACACAATTTCGAGAGAATACGAAATGAATTTTCAATTATTCCTGTTACTGGCGTAACTTGTCAACGAAATTTGTCTCCTTACGTAGGAGTTGTGACTTCAACTATTATAAAACGTTTAATCATCGGACAAGTCTTGACAATAACATCAATTTTGCGTGAAGATTTCTCAATTCGCATTTTCATATTTAAGTAGATGGAATAAGAATACGAGAACTACGTTTGATGACTTAGTACAGTCAAGCATCAATCCGTTAAATAGTAGAAGCATACGTGAGCATATGCAATAAACCCAAACTTAATTGTGTGCAAGTACAGCTAATGAGTGGTCTTTCATTTCGTTAGGATTTCTCTTTTCATTGTCTATAAAGAAGGGCACATATTGAGTCAGAATAGCGTAATGGTAGGTAGGAGAAAAGTACAATGCATGCAAGTGCAGTGCATGTCTTTCTTATGCGTTCACATTTCCGTGCGTTCACATCTTATGAGTAATAATAAAAAATGAAATGCAGAGAATATATAAATAATACTTAGCATCCATTTATTATCATATAATCTATTAGTTGAAATTAAACAACACTCATACGCTCCAGCAAACGTCTTGTTTTAAAAAAACATTGTTATGGCCAATCTTTTTGCAAGCAAAAAATTTGTGAATTTATGTTTATGGTCGTGGGTTCGAATCTCAAGTGCGGTAGAGTTTTTAATAATAATAATAATAAAAGCCGATAGCCTTAGATGCTAGTGCTTTTAAGAGTTTAGTCTTAGAATTTATTTCTCTGGCGAAATTAATAATAATAATAATATGTTTATACTCTACACTAAATGTGTTAACGGTATATTAAGTTTGTGTAGATGTTCGTAATACGCATAAGGACTTGAGACAGGCGGAAAGCGATTTAGAATTACTTATTGAATCTGTTTAACTATATCGACCCCGTATCCGAGTGTCTGACCATCGGTCCAAGTGCAATATGGTGATGTGTTCAATTTACAAACTTATGAAATAATCATTTGACTTAATCGGTTTTTATGAAATATAAGCTTTTATGCGGCAACAAGGTGAAATTTTTGGCATTTAATGGCGAAAATTGATAAAAAAATTAAGAAAAAACATGAGTTTGAACGATATGGGTCTACATACACATTGAATATCTCCTCAGAAAAAATAAAACTTTTACATTCTATAACAAAAATTTATGAACAATTGCATTGGACGATGTTGCAAAGCTATCATGATTTACTTTCTTTGGATTTGAAAATTTTCCTGATAAATTATTTGTATTTTTTATATTTTGACTCCTCCATGCGATTCGTCGTAAATATTGTTCCCATTGCCGGAATCTTACTTCTTTTAAAGGGACCTCATTGAAACTATGGAATTTGTCTTAGGTATAACGACATGCATACACAATTATATCTTTGCGACCAACATCATTTTTACTCTATCATCATCAATCGCTCTAATTTGTTGCTTTTAATGCTGATTACAATTGCAGTATCGTAACTCACTTCATTTAAAGTCGTTCAAACAGTTCCATTTCTTCTCAACATACTTGTATCAACTTTTCATTTATTGCTTGAAGGCGGTGTTTCAAAAATCGTACATCATCGTCCGCCACTCTCATGATCGGAAGCTCCACTGTGGTCGGTACATAACTTTAAAAAACACCTAAGAATACAGTTTGCTGTAGATATCGAGTAAGGCTGTGAAACAAACGAAGAACACATCTATAAAAAATCTAGAAATAAAACGAAAGAAACTAATTTAAGTAGAAAAGAAGTCGGTTTGAATAAATGCTACGATTTTATAATAACTTAGTTAAGGAGTAATTTTTTACAGATTAAAAGCAAAATTTATTAGGATATATATGTGTGATAACATATAAAAGTTTAACATACTTTTAGTTGCTAAACTTTTTCCAAATTTTTATATAAAAGCTAACATACTTTGGGGGTAATCTTTCGAATATATATGGACACGTATATGCAAGTATTTAATAATCAAATTAGAATATTTTAAATAACTTTTGTGGTTCTGAACAATATCCTTCAACTTTTTAAAATATAAAATTTTCAAACTTCTTTTTCCATTTTGACCTGAAAACAAAAACAAATTTAATTATCTCAAGTATGCAAGTCAAGGTGTACACAGTTGGATAATCTATTAGAGACCACCGTGCTCGACCGCGACTTTGGCTTGCTTTGAAGGTTTTGTATTAAGGAAAACGAAAAATAAGAGTAATGATAATAAAGAGAAACTAAAAGCAAAGCATATAAACAAAACGATTTTATTTGTATTTATTATTATTTTTCTTTTTCACGTTTCGTTTTAAATGTCTTTTCACTTTTTACTCTATATTTTTTTTTGGATTTTACTTTTTGAAATGCTTTTGCAATGCAATGAAATGATTTTGTGAGATTATACATTCAATACGCAAAAAGCAATAACAACAAGAAAAAAACAAAAAAATAAAAAATAGAACAAATGAAAAACTGTGTAAATTAAATCTCTTGAAAAAAGCATAAGTGCTAGAGAGAAGTAATAATAATAAAACTTAATTAATACGAATTAAGCAAAAAGTTCAAAGTTATGTGGCCAGCACAGATTCCAGTGCCAGATAGTAGAAGCTCTTGCTTAGCAGTATATAAGAAAATCATTTTTATTATTGTTATTATTTCTTATTATTTATGTAACGTAATTAAGGCAACACTTGCTATGATATTTCATTTTCGTCTAAGACACAATTGTTTTGCAAAATATTATTTGGAAACATTGCAGTTGAAAAAGTATTCGGAATTGCTAAAGTTGACAAATTGTACGTTGAAAAGCTCAATAGAACTGCCAGCATATGATTATTCTTTGTAATTGTTTCGCAGGATAATAAAGTCGCGCGTAGGTAAAGTATTCGTCCTTTAACAATTTTTGCGATTTATTCAAATAAATTTTTCGCTTTCAGTCACGGCAATCTTACTTGCATAAAGATCAACGCGGTCTACTGAGTAAATCAGAGTCGTGATGCCTGTGTTCGCGGTTTGACCACAATAGGTCGCAGCTGCAGTGAATACTCGGGATATTTTCCCATTTCTTTTTCTCACTTCTCTCTGACACCAGTGTAGTAGGGAACATTCTCTGAGCGACTGGTCAATAAAGAAAACGGAATCTTTCCCTAGTTATAATCGTTTCAAATAACGCACAAGAGGAAGTTGTGTGGACAAAATTTGTATTGATCGATTGCATATGCTGTGCAATAAGCGCAAACAGTAGACAAACTGTCTGCACGTATTGGTGAATCAACGGCGTGCCGCCTGGATACGAAACTAGCTTCACTTATGTAGTATGTCAACGAACTGGACAAATCTGACTGCAATGGTTTTTTCAAAGGCAACGCAAGAAAGGAATAATAATAATGGGGATTGCATTTATAGAAAAAAGAATTCCTTTTATTTATAGTTTAAATTTTTAATGAAAAAACACCAGATTTTTCCTTGGAAAGCGTTTTCATTTTTCGCCATCTTAAAGAAATAGAGAAATATTACGAAGGCTTTTACGAATTGCTTCATTCCGAACGCGGCACAACCTCTAAGGAATACACGATGGAAGAACGATCGTCCTTGTGAATAGACCTTGCAAAAGGGGATGACTCAAAAGTAAGAAAAAGTCCCGCTTGTTGTAATGCGCGATATGAATTTATCCATCTTTGATTTCAAAAAATATAAAAAATATTATAAAAAAAATTATAAGACTTACAGGAAGGAAACAACTTCAATTTAAATTATGAAATGTTTAAATAAGAGTAGAAAGAAATGAAAACAATTCAAACTAAAACAACAAAGGAATGAAATGTATTTGCAGCCGTTTAATGTTGATAAAAATTGTTCACTCGCTGTCATCCCCGACAACGTTGCTAACAATTCTCTCACAGCACAGCCTTAATTCAGTTCAGCATGTGCACAACAACTATTTTCATCACCATTATTATCATCAACTTTTTGCCTTGAAAACAATAGCAACACGAAGAGTAATAGGAGTAGCGATAGTAGTGATAATAGTAGTAGTAGTAGTAGTAGTAGTAGTAGTAGTAGTAGTAGTAGTAGTAGCAGTAGTGGTAGTGGTAGTGCTGGTGGTAATGGAAAATGAATGTGAGTTGACAGCTGTACTGACAATACACACTGACAGCAATACAACAATATTCATCAGGGACGATGACAACTTTTAAGATGGAATACTACGCACACACACACACACATACACACACTGCCACGCAAATGTAAACAAACTATGTTTTCGTTTAAAAAAAAAAAAAAAGAACTAAAAACAAAAAAGTATATAATCGGCATTTATCGATGATAAAATTGAGATTTACGTTATTGTTTTACAGTTTTTCTAAATCACTTTTATTTTTTATTTGTTTTCATTTCTCTATTACTGGCAATCTCATATTGTGTCCATGTATTGCAGAAGTCAATAATTTTAAAATAATATTTAGTTTAAGTTCGATGCTTTCCTATTGGACAAGTACTATATGCAAAAATATTTTTCTAGGATAAGACCAATTTTAGTAGATTTACATCACATATGCAAGCATGCATTGCATCAGATCAGGTCCATCTGTCTAGTTTCTATTCGCTTTCATTTATATTCAACTTATTGTGTGTGTGATGCAATGACTGACTTATTTTGATGAAGTTTGATCCAGAGACGAACGCTTTTGAAAATGGATTGCATTGGACCATCATTACAAGCACCCGTGATTCGGAGAGATAGTTCTGATATGAAAAAAAATTTTCCATTTTTCATATTTCCCGACAAAAATTACTTCAAAATATTATTTCGATATACTAATAAATGCGAAACTTACTGGGATAATTTTGGACTAGATAGATCTATTTTTGGAAATCTCCTTACGCATAAGCTACAAGGTTTTTATATGACAAATTGTTTTAATTTCTAATATTTTGTTGACTTACAAGTTTACTGCGCTTGGGTC